TCGATAAAATCAAATTGGCAACTGATCTAAAAAAATGACCTCCTGCAATCTGTTGTTAACTGGGGCAAGGAATGGCGTGTTAATTTTAATTCCTCGAAAACGAAACCACTCTTTTTCAATCGCCAGAGAGAATTCGTTTTGCCCTACATCAGTATGCCTGATGCTAACCTCCTGGAAAGTGACCCAGTGTGCCTTCTCGAACTAACGTTCTCCGTTGACATGAAATGGAAAGATTATATTGAATCAATTGATAAATCTGCGGCTAGGAAATTTGGTTCACTGTGTCGTGCTAGAGAATGTTTATTGTCAAAAGCTAGTTTTATAAACCTACCATTCATCCTTCCTTTGAATATTGCTGCCACATCTGGTCTGGTGCCCCTGCTATATATTTAGAGTTGCTTGATAAAATCCAAAGAATCTGCAATATTATTGTTCCTGACCTGGCATCTCGGCTTCAGTCACTTTCTTACCGCCGTAACGTAGCTTTTCTGAAAATATTTTCATGGCAATTGTTCTGATGAACTTTCCTCCACGGAACTTAGACTTTATGAATTTAAGTGCAGAACTAAATTGGGAACAAGGTCATTTTACAGTGGAAATGGCGAAATGTAACCGTAAGTTCCATGCTAATAGTTTCTTCTCTTGCACTTCTCGCTTGTGGAACACTCTTCTGGCTTCGTGCTTTTCAAAGATTTAAATGCAATGTCAATCGTTATTTTCTGTTCTTTTATTTTTCTCTCGCCTTATTAACAGTTTTTCTCACATTCTGTAACAGTCAGTAACCCCCTTGCATCTTAGTGGCTTTATTATCTTACTTGGGGGTGAAATGATAAAAAAAGATGTATAGCCAGCCAGTTCCTGGTATTAACAAAATCCTTCATTTATCTGACTGGCGTCATCGGGTCAGAGGATTCAACTACTGAATAATGACCCTATGAATTTATTAGAGTAAAAGGTTTTTGTCAAAACAATGCCGGAAAATTATAGGAAGGCGATGTACCTGTTTATCTGTAATTCTCTTTCTTTCTCCTTTTTCTGCATCTTTATATATCCCTGTACTAGAGAGAGAGAGAGAGAGGGGGGGATACGAATATATAAAAGAGAGTGTGATGCGAATACAGGAGAGAATGGAGGAGGACGGGAATATATGAGAAAAAAATGGACGCGAATGCATGAGAGAGAAAGGGGGATGTGAATAAGAGAGAGAGAGAGTCAGGGCGCGGAAACAAAGAGATAGAGTGGGGGGTACAGAAGCAGAGAGAGAGAGAGAGAGAAATAAGCAAGAAACAGACAAAAGCATCAATGAAGAAGAGGAAAAAATGAAAACCATTTTGTAATGGAATCGAGATGGGAACAACGTGAAACTCGATGTCTCATCATGGGGCAATGGTCAACAACTTGGACTTATTAGTTGGGGGTTCGATCCTTATTGGTTACTCCATATTTGTGGCTTAGTGCCAAAATAAAAAACATTGAAAGAGGAAAATAAAAATGGGGAAAGAAAGAAAGTGTCAAAGAAACTTTCTCGTCATTCTTTGTCATCATGAACTTCATCAATTTTTTTTTTTTAAACCCTTTTTTGTTATTCTATAGATTTTGGGAAAACTCCCCACCTTTTTATCTTAATCATAATGTTTCGATCGATAGGCTTTGGGGCTGAAGTTTTAAGATGAAGGATTTTTAGTATTCCATATGTTATACTGATTTCTATCTTTATAGCGTTCAAATTCTACCCGTGGCCTTTTGCGTTCGTTTTTACACAAATATATTCCATTCCAGTTAGGGATTAACAACCTTGGCTGGCCGCCAGTATAGAAGGAGGAGGGGGAGGTGGAAAACTGAATTCAAAACCGGCTGGACGTGGGGTTAGCAACGACATCGTATAAATTTATTCTTCCACAGCAGCAACACCTAGCGTAATGAGGCTTTGAACCTATACTCCATAAAGGAGCCTACAGGACGTCCATGACTATTTGTTTTTTTGTTTACTACTAGTAGTAGTAGCAGTATACCCACCACCACTAGAACATTTAAACAAAGATGCTTTTGGTATCCCTCAGGTGACTGATGTAGCAAATACAGTAATCCCTCGTTTAGTGCGGCTAATTAGTACATCGGTAACTATAAAAAAAAATCAATTACTATGGTTAGACTGAAGAATGTTTTACCGTACTAATCGAATTTTGGTATATAAAAAATCGAGGGATGCATGGAGACACTTTTATTTGGCTTATTTGGGATCTTCTCTGCTTTCGCGCAAGTCTCTGCGGTCATGGAGATTGCACACTTCAGCTTGTGTGTCTGCGCACTGAGTTCTCATCCGAATGTGACCCTTACATTCTCTTCTGCGATGTACGAGTGTTAGTATTTATATATTTGGTATGGTATCTATTTTTTATATTTGTCAAACTGTCCCCCCTTATATCAGGTGCAGCTGGTCAGACCACGTGGCACAGCACTTGACAGCCAGGAGGTCATCTGTTAGGTCAACCATACATCTGACTTCTCTCTGAAGGACATTTAGTGCAAATCTATTCCGACATCACCTGAGGTGAGTCCAGTGCAGACAACGGAACGGGAACAATCTATCCCTGTAGTTAGAAATTTCCTGAAGGTTACACGGATCGACAGACACTTGAAGAAGGCAGAAGAGTCCAAGAAGAAAAAAAAACAAAAAAAAAAACCAAAAAAAAAACCAAAGGAGTTTTTAATACCCAAATGAGAAAGAATTCAAAGAATCAATATGCAAATTTAATTCTATGCAGGGAGAAGAAACTAAAAGCATAAATCTTCAAAAATATTCAGTTAGAGGAAATATTTATTTTGCATCCACATCTGAGAAGCTACAGATGATGACGATAGGCAAATTATATTTAAATACAACAAAGCGAGATTTATATTTAAAATAAAATCTTTATTGATACCTGCTTTTAGGGTGGGGCAAAGTTGTATAGACGAATAGAAAAATAGAATTAAAAAAATTTTTATGTGATTTCGAATGAAAGACAAGGCAGATTGAAAGACTGAAGAAAGCAGAAAGAAAACCATTTTTTGTCTTGGTTTTTTTTTTTATTTTCTATCATTTTTTCGTCTTTCCAAAAAAGTCATAAATTTTTTTTTTTTTTTCAGACACGAACGAAGAAATGAGCGGAAAAAAAAAGAGAAAAAGAGGCGTTCACATATTCGTTAAATAATTTATCTTTTTTCCGTTAAAGCATCTTTTCAAAATGAGAGAGAGAAGAAATTATTCCTCTGAAAGTCCTCCAGCCCAATATTTCAGCGGTCTCCGTAACTGTGTCCACGTATTCACGATAGGGAACTTTCATGTTTCAGACGAATAGTTGGAAAAATCAATCTCCTTGGTCCAATAGGATTTTTCTGGGACTCGCGGCTTGAAAGCCAGGGGCAACAGCCATAGGGTTCCAGAAGGATCTTCTTTCAGACATTTCTGAAGAAAAAACACTGGGAGAGCAACAGAATTGCCACCGAGACGATCTTGTTAGCAACAAAACGTGTTGCTGTTGGTCGCGTGTGTTGCGGCCAGAAGATCGAAATGAACTTCCTCACACCTCGACATTGATGTGTTCCTCATCAGAAGACTGGCCAGGACTTCCGGGTGATCTCGGACGAAACGATTCGAGTAGTCGAATAGCTCCATCAATTTTCTCATCACGGATGTCTTCTAGAGATTGATCTCTGACAACTTTTTGAAGATTCTTGGCAGACATCCCACGCCTCTCTTCCCAGACAACCAGAACTCCTGAAAATATTTAAAAAATTCAAGAAATATTAAAAACAGATTGAGACACAAAATCTGAAAAGAAAGTTATTTTCATTTCTCTGATTGGCAGAAAGTTTCGCGCCAAAATGACGTCATAACATCGCCAAACACAACAGAAGATTGTTACGACACTAACCGTGTTTACATCATAAGTATGTGTGGGAGTGTATTATATATATTACACACACACACACACACACACACACACACACACACACACACACACACACACACACACACACACACACACACACACACCATGGCGAGATTCGGACCCGGGACTCATGGTCAGAAACGTTCGCATTTTGACCATGAGACCCGGGTTCGAATCTCACCATGGTCGATTTGTCAGCATGAAGACTTCTTGATGTTATTGGAGGGATCGGTCCCAGCGTGCGGCACCTTTGAAAAAGTGCCTGAAAACCATAACCCACGGGTTGACCCAAGCCTTGTGAGTGAAATTGGGTAGCCGGAACGCTTGGGGGCTGTCGACAGCTGTGCTAGCACGAAGTCACAAGTCATCGTGGCCGAGGGCTTGAGCGTGTTAGCCTTGTTCAAATTGTTGATCACGCTAGATAACACGCTCTTTCTCAGAAACTGTAACAATGGTCTGCTCAGCATAGTTGCAATATAAACCACAGGTGGGGTCTGTGAGTGTTGAATAAACATAAATGCGCCTGAGCAATCATCTGCAATAGGGATTGGCTAGCTGCCCTAATAGACGGGTATCCTCGAATACGAGTGGCCAGATACACACATTGAACAATAAAAAAATTAAAATCTTCAGACACATGGGATTAATATTCTTTCGTTTTTACTTTTTATTATTTCATTTAGAATCCTCTCTCTCTCTATGTGTGCGTGTATGAAAGAAATCTTTCCGGAACACCGGTCGAAAATTTAACTGTAGTAAACGAATTACACCTTCATATTACGAATGAGATAAAAACTGGAATGTTTCAGAAACGAAATAAAACAAGAAATTTTGAAAACCTATTTAAGATATTTTTATTTTAAATATCTGAAGGCGTGGAGGTTAAAAAATATGAAATGAAAATATTTCTTCTTACCTTTTGGGCCTGAAGCGAGTTCGGCTTCCAGTTTCCGCCTCTTTGTTTCCAAAGTTATATATCTCTGCTTTTCTTTGAGATACGAAAGAAAAATAGGTTTTTCTTTTTTCAGGTACTTCGTTGCCTCATCCACAATTTTCTTTTGTGAGGCCTTTTTGTCGTCACTCACTGCTGGGACCAGTTCACGAAGACCCTCCAAGAGCATCGTCATGCCTTTCCTTCTTTCTCTTTCCAGGTGGTTATGTTGTGCCTTTTCCACCTTGTTCATACATTTTCGTTTCTTTTTTTCGCCGTTCATCTTCACTAAAGACACTTTAAATAAATAAAAAAATATATTAACAAGATTTCCTACAGGGCTTATAGAAGAATTAAGAATTAATCAACATATTACGAGTTAATATTTTAGGTAGTAAGATTATAACATACAAGGAATTTAGGTCTTTGCAATGGGAAAAGGAAGAATCGTAAATTTCCACAATTTTAAAAGGCTTTATTTTACATACGATGAAGATGAATTTCAAAATATGATCTAAGAATAGATTATGTAAATAAGGATTTATTTTTTAGATTAGGAAATAATGCATTATTTCTCATGTCTGCATGCAAACCAATGAAATATTGTCCCACTTGTCTTCCATATAAAAACTCTTTTCTGTTTGCTCCAATACTTCACTTGTTTTTTGTTTTTTATTTTGAAAATAAAATTGTTCCCCAAGTTTTCTATGAAAATTCTCTCTTAAATGTCAGTTTTCTGTTATTGGAGTTTATCTCTTCTATTCTTTATTATTTTTTATAATCAACATTTCAAGTGACAGAATTTGTTCAAGAATTAACTTTAAGAAATTTTTTTAAGCAATGATTTTTTTTTAAAAGCCTGCCCTAAACAATAGAAAAATTATTTTACAGAAAATAAAATTACTACTACTCCTCTATGATAATAATGACGACAAAAAAAAAAAAAAATTATTATATATATATATATATATATATATATATATATATATAGTTTATGCAAAACTAGGTAATCCACAGGGCTCTGGATCATCAGACTTTACTTCCAAAGGTTGAAATGAAAAATGAAAAAAGAAATTCACACGTTTTTGACGGACCGCATCAAGCATATGTAAAATTAATTTTATCTTCTCTTCCACCTCACTTCCTCACTTCGTTAATTTTACATATGCTTGATGCAGTCCGTCAAAAACGTGTGAATTTCTTTTCATTTTTCATTTCAAACTTTGGAAGTAAAGTCTGATGATCCAGAGCCCTGTTAAAGGGGTTGTGGTGAAATAACTTATTACATGGAACCTTAAAGTGGTCTGTTTTTATTAAAAAAAAAAAAAAAAAATAAATAAATAAATAAATAAATAAATAAAAAAATAAAAAAATTATTACGGAAGCAATTCAGTCTGGAGCTGTCAAAAAATCTCAACCACCCAAATCTACTTTTGATTTGGCTTGACGGAGTCGCGTATTTCTTTGGTGTAAATCCAGTAAACAATAAAAAGTAACTATTATTTTTATTTGTTTACAATATCGAGATTTTTGTCATTCAAATCGTAGCCATTGTGATTTTTATCGATTCAAGGGAAAAAAAAATTTCTTCGTAGCTGTTTCAGTTCAATTTAAAATTAAGTCTTTTTTTAAAATTTAAGTCTTCTTTTTTTTAAATTTAAGTCTCCTTTTTTTTAAATTTAAGTCTCCTTTTTTTTTAAATTTAAGTCTCCTTTTTTTTTAAATTTAAGTCTTTTTGGTTTTATTTGCAAAACACAAATTAGTTGTGAAACTAAAAAAAAAAGAAAAATAATTTTTTAATTTTATTTGACAAGATAAAACATTTTCACTCATTTAGTCCAAGTAAAAATGCTTCGAGGAAACTAATTTCCCGATTTTTATGTAAATTATACTAAATCAGGCAACTCAAAAAAAAAAAAAAAAAAAAAAAAAAATTTCTGCCCCCCTCACCTGTTATTAAAAATTTACAAAGGAATTAATAGATTTAAAATGAAATTTTCATTACTTATTCATAAATTAGAGAATTGTATACTAAATATGTTAATAATGTATTTAGAAAACATTTTAGAAATATTTTTGCGTTTGTGGGCGGGCAGCTACCCTCTCATTTCAGTACATTGTGAATATTTCAAATTTACGGATGATGACAAATATTTTTTATAATTTTCTCAAATAATCGTGAAAATTTCTCCTGAAACTTGACAAAAATAATTAATAAAAACTCAAAAATAATTTTTCTGGAGAGTTGATGCTTTTTAAAAAATACATTATCAGATTTGAAGGAAAAAAAAATTTCAATGAATATTTATTTTTGAAAAAATTACTGCTAATTTTTCAGTGCGATTTTGAAATTCTTCCAATTGATGGTGCCAAAAGATATTTTATTGAATAAAGATGTGTTTGAAGAATCAAGTTTGATGCTATTTTCGCATCATAAAATTTTTAAAACGAATTTAATTTTATTTATTATTTTCACAACTGATTCATTTTTTTTATATGGAAAGATCAAAACAGAAAAATTTCTGAATCACCCCTTTTTTTTCTTCCTTTAGTTTATATATTTTAAAATCAGGATAATTATAAAAACTACATTGGATGCTATTAAATATTTTATGACCTCAAACAAGCAAAGAAATAATAAAAATAAAGCAATCAATATAAAAAAAGTATAATTTAACATTAATAATTTCATTTATTTTTCATACTTATAATGTAGTATAAAAAAGCTCTAGTGAATTGTAAAAAAGTGTAAAAGAATAAAAATAAACACTATATATATTGGTTCTGTAAGGTTAAAGATCATTTATTTTTACGCATAATCAATCAATACCAATTTCTTGACGTTTGTGATGGCAGTAGAAATTTACTGTTGTTGACATGAAAGGTTACAGAGTGTAAATAAGCGTAATTTTCATGTTTTGAGCAAAAAGTAAGCTTTACTTTTACAAAATTCAGTTAATTAATCCTTAAATTTATTAGCTTAAATTGAAACATCGCTAAGTGATTTTTTTAAACTTGTTTATATTTTTCGTCCATAATAACGCTTCGGAGAGTCGCTGAGCGACTACTGAAATTTTTCGCTGAGCAACGGCTATTTTTAAGATATCTAAAAACTTTATTTACATACGGAATTTTTTTTCTTTTCATACAATAGTTTTCTAGTATGTTTGAAATAATGCCCAAACTTTTCTAAACAGGAAATATTTACATAATTTTTAAATGCGTCTTTAAGGTTTTTCAGTTCAAATTTTGTCGGTACCGATACTGAATTCAACAGGCAATATAAAGCAAAGATCGATTTCCTTAGGAATTGAAAAGAAAAAAATGTAAATACTTACAATATTTTCGATCGGGTTCAGCCGGACGGACTTCGTTTTTTCGTGGCCGACCTCTTTTCTTTGGTTCTGGTGTTTTATTAAGAAGAGTGTCCGGAACGTGATATTCGATTGGGATCTCTGGCAACGCCGAGCCCAAATCAGGTTCGATTAAAAGGTCTCCAAATAGCTGCAGTTCGGGATCCGAGTAATTGTCAAGAGTGTTAAGGCTCATGGCCAACGTATCTGGGAAAAGTTCCATGAGAGGATTTCTTTCTTCCACAATCTTCTCTTCAGCAAAAAACTGAGGACAATCGTATGATAAAGCTCTGCCATTAAGGTGGCCACCATCCATGTTGATCGTATCAGGCAAGGGTCATCGCACACACGTCCTATTTATATACAAGTGGGAGGAGCTAGCAGAAAAAAAACAAAGAAAAAACAGACCAGCCAATAGAATTGAAGCTATTATAACTGAAATATTTGGATGACTTTTTGAAAAAAAAAAAAAAAAAAGGATTCATGAAGATTTATTATTTTAGTTTGTTTTTTTTTTTTTTCGCTCATTATCATTTATAGATATTTATGTATAGGATTTTATGCTCGTGAAATTTTTATGTCAGGGGTGTTTTTTGTAGGTTCCCTGAGTGTATGCGCTATTATGGTATATGAAGGATTGAGTAGCGATGGATGTGTTTTTGTGGTGGATGTGCAAATTGTGAATGGGTCGTGAATCGGATTAGCTAGGAATAAGATAGTAAGCGACACCCAGCCTTAACCCATTCCTCATTTAGGCCTTGTTACAAAATTATGTATTTTTATATACAATAAATATCGAATTCATAAAATTTTGACTAGTATTTTTTTTTCTTAAATACACATTTTAATTGCTTTTCTTAGTGTGGTTAGGTCAGTGAATGCGACTAGCCAAGTTAAAGTTAGCCTCCTCATTTTTTGGTTTTGTGCCACATTTTGTGTATATCACGAAAAACTAATGCCTTTTTTTTTTTTAAATTGCTTTTCATTAGGTTACCACTGCGGAGCTCACCACCCCGCCGTCAACGAAAAACGTATTTTAAATAATATAAGTGTCTTTTTGGAAGTTAAATTTTAGTTCTATTTAAAAGATAATAATTTAAAGCTAATCCATAAAAAATAAAGGTTTTAGACATTTTAAAAACATTGGCATGGTCATCGACCCTCCATTATGGATAAAAAAAGTAAAAAGAACAAATTTAAGTCTTAAATATTCAATATCTGTCCTGGAGATATGTTCTTTAAATTTATAGTAAATCTAAAGATTAATTAACTGGATTTTATGAAAATAATGGTTACATTTTGCTTAAAATATTGGGAAAATAATGTTTATTCAAACATGGCAGCAACGAAATGTAATCAAAATCATAGGTCAACAACAGTTAAACTGTCATGGCCAAATCGCGCGTAAATCTTTTCTGTCATCCCAAAGCGGACGTAACATTTTTAGAAGGACACAGGATCGAAAATGTCACAATGTAGAAATTAGTATTGTTTATATTTTTAAAATGAATTATCTTATAAAATTAAACTTGTATAATCAATAATAAAAATACTTTTTATACACTTTTATTTAACTTGCGACATTGACTTTATACTAAATTAAAAGGACGAAAAAGAAATTAAAAGCTAATTATACTTTTGTGTTTAATTCATTGTTTTCATTTTTATTATATTTTCTTGTCGGTTTGATATCAAAATATTAATTGCACTTAGTGAGGTCTTTTTATTTTGATTTTAAAATTTATTAAACTTAAAAGAAAAAAAGTTGAAGGGGGGGGGGCATTGACAAAGACTTATTGATATTGTTAATTAGCAGTCACAGAATTATTTCTTTTTTGAAGTTCCGTACAAAAAAATAATGTAACAGTTGTAAAAATAAAAAAATAAATTCTTTAAAAACAACCAAAAAGTTATTTAAACATAACATTTTTAGATTTTTCATACACGTCT